GTGTTAACTGTTGACGGGAAAACTTATTTGCTCTGTAACATGTCACCTCAACCATAATAAAATATTTAAAAAGCAACAGTTTAAAAACCAAAACCGTAAATTTGAGGGAGAGGGATTACTGCTAGTGACCGCAAAGAGCCTTTATAAAAATATTTTCAAAAACTGGCTTCCGTCTCTGTTGGAAATGTGCTGTAAGACACAGGTCTGAGAACTTTGTTTTTTCTGGATGTCGTTTAAAAAAAAAAAAGGTTAGTTTTTCTCTGGTTTATCTTATGATTGCTGGGTTTTTTAGCACATGTTCCTGTACATGAAATCCAGGGTAGGTACATCTATAGAGATGATAACTGGGTTAATGGTTTCTTGGGGGTGTGGCATGGGAGGGTAGGGGTTGGCAGAGGGGAAAAAGGGAGCTACATAGCAACAATATGAACAAGAGGGAAGACAATGTTTGTACTGATGATTGTTTAACTCTTCAATAAGACTGAGCTATTGAACTGAATGATGTGCATTATACTTCACGGCGGTAAAACGCTATTAAAAAAGAAAGAAAAGGTTAGGCAATGTGATTTTGAGTTTGGCTTGAATAAAAGGAGCTGTCCTAAGACGAGAACCAATCGTCCCGGGTCAGCAATGGACTCCCACAAACCAAAGCCCAGGAGGCTGGTGCAGGGCGGGGCGACACATCTTTCTGTTATACAGGAGGTGGGCTCGCGTCTCCTTGGCAACTAGCAGCAGCCACTCTGGCGACACCGGGACTCCACTGACCCATTATTCCTTGTGGCGTTACCAGGTCGGACCAGTCCTTGATGTCGTCAAATTTCACCTTGACGAGGCGGACGCCCCTCAGCTTCTCGGCGGGCAGCTCCCTGACGTACTCCAGCCGGCTGAAGAAGAAGGCCTTCGGCACAGCCCCGGCCTTGAGCGCATCGGCGATCAACCGGCGGCCTTCCAGGAGGATCTTCCCGTTCTTTTCCCGGAACGGCCTGGACTTCACGATTGTCATCACACTGCTGTGGGTGGAAACGAAAAGCCGCACCATGAAGAACGTCCTCGGGATCAAGACACACCTAGCGCGACCGGGCGGATCCCAGGGGGCACTGGCTCGGGCTTCCCGACCGAAGGGGAAGGCACCAGGAGGACCAGGTCAGGCGGGAAGAGAAACGGTACTACAGGCAGGTTTTAGGAACCTCCCGGGAGGACGGCGAGCCCGTCTGCTCCTAAAGATGGGCGGCCTCGGCCCCCACGGGGTGGAGGGGTGGCGGGTTCGGGTGCTTAGGAACACGTCACCTCAGCCTCTTGTCCCCGGGAAAAGCCTTGTCGTAGCGAAGCCCCGACTCTTCCCAGGTGCTGGGCGGCGGCTCGGAGGGCATCTGAGGCCGCTGTCGCGGGCGCTGCGCCTGGGAACCGGCCGCAGGCGCCGCCGTCCGGGGCTCTTTGCCAGGGCCGGGCTTCCGAGCCACGACCTCTCCCGACGGGAGCACCACTCGCACGGGCCTCCTCCGCAGCGCTCGAACGCAGCGCCGCGCGCCGACATCCCACGTGTGAGCCACCGGCAGCAACGGCCTCCCGGCACACGCCGCGGCCTTCACGAGCGCCGCCATCTTGGCCGCCGCGCGACGCGACGTGGAAGGAGCGCGCCGGCGCCGCGCGATGACGTCACGCCGGCGCGCCGCTTGACCCGCGGGGCGGCGCTTTCCACGAGGCGGCGCTTTCCGCCGGAAGGGATCCGCGTTTGCGGGAGTCATGGCTGTCCGGCGGGCACTGCACTTCGTCTTCAAAGTGGGAAACCGCTTCCAGACGGCGCATTTCTATCGGGATGTCCTGGGGATGAAGGTGCGGCTCGGGGCCGGCGCTTGGTGGCCGGAGGGAGCGGAGGAATGGGTGTGTCGGGAACGGGTGTCGGCTTCGCAGCTGCAGGAAGGGATGTGGGTCTCAGGGCTTTGGTTCGGTGGTCCTTGAAAGGGCTCTCACCCTTAGTGGGCACCAGCTGTGCCCGCACACCCGTTCTTCCAATTTCAGTTTGATCACAAATAGGTACTGAGCCCCTGCCCGCGTCGGGCTCACAGTCGATGACAATTGCTCGATCTCTTCCGGCTTAGAAATCCGCATCATGCAAGTTATGAATCAGCTTTGCAAGTGGGTGACACATTGGACTGCTTAACTGAAAGGTCAGCAGTTCGATCCCACCAGCTGCCTTGGCATGATGGAACTGATGGGGCTTTCTACTCAGGTCAAGAGTTACAGACTCGGAAACCCATAGGGGCAGCTCTACCCTGTCTCATCGGCACGCTATGCGTTAGCATCGATTTGATGGCCGTGCATGTGGGGTTTTTGAGGTGAAAAGAGCCTTGATAGCTGGGAGTAGCAATACCATGAGGGTACGGGGAAGGTGGGGGGAGAAAGGGGGTACCGATCGCAATGATCGACAGATAACCCTCCCCACCCATGGTGATGAACAACAGGTGAAGGGAGACAGCAGACAGTGTAAGATATGAAAATAATAATAATTTATAATTTATCAAGGGTTCATGAGGGTGGGAGAGGGAGGGAAAAAATGAGGAGCTGATACCAAGGGCTCAAGTAGAAAGAAAATGTTTTGAAAAGGATGATAGCAATAAATGTACAAATGTGCTTGACCCAGTGGATGTATGGATTGTGATAAGAGCCGTAAGAGCCCCCAATAAAATGATTTTTTAAAAAGAACCTTGATAGCCTATAGCCTAGGGCGGGCGGGATTGGGGGTGGGAGCTGGACTTGCACATAACTAACAATGGAAGATAGATGTCTATGCAAGTTATGTGTAAAGTGCATGTGAAGTCAGTATTGGATACATGTTATCTGGGAGTCCCTGGGTGGTGCACACAGTTAAAAGGTCAGCTGCGAATCAAAGGCTGGCAACTCTCATCCCCCTAGAGGACCCTCCAAAGAAAGGCGTGGAGATGTGCTTCCCAAAGATCATCAACCCCCAAAACAAACAAATTGCCATGGGGTCAGTTCCAGGGCACAGTGACCCTATCCATTAGAAGGTCTCTGATGCAGAAAGCCTCGTCCTTCTCCTGCAGAGAGACTGGCAGATTTGAACCGCAGACCTTGCAGTTAGCAGTCCAACACATACGGGACAGGACCACCCATTCCTAGCCACAGTAAGCCTTGCGATTGGCAGCCCAGCGCCACAACCTGCTACACCACCAGGGCGCCTGGATGCGCTGTTATGTAGCTGTTAGGTAAGGTGCCATATGCTATCAAAACACAGCGGAAGGGGAACTCTAACCCAAACCTGGAGAGGCAGGACGTAATTCATGGAGACCGTACTTTCCGGTTGGATCTCTGAAGATAGGTAAGATTTCCACAGAGCAAGATTAAGGGGAGAAGCTCTATAAGGAAAACCAAAGCGGCGATGTAAAGGTGTGGCACATTTGGGAAACGCCTTCGGCTGAGGTCATGTGATTGAAGTCGAGGCGGTGGAAGTATTGGGATGAATGATCAGGCCAGTCATAGACTGAGACTAGTGCTGCTGGTATCTTGAGTGCCGTACCATGAAATTTCACCCATCTGCCCACAGGCAGGAGCTCTTACATTCCCAAACCGGGGAGAGATAGAACTGTGAGGGATAATTCTAAGGTGTTCTTAAGGAAAGAGATCATTAAAGACTCCCCCTGCCCCGCAGTCTGGGAGAAGCATGACAGGAACTTGAACCGGAGAGGTAGCCGAGACAATCCAAAGGGAAAGCAGACGGGAACACAGAGCCCTGCTGTGCACCACGGTCTGTGTGAGGGGCTTGAACACGTTATCCACTTCCACAACACGTGGAGAACTGTGACTCAGATCCCAAGCAGCTACGTCAGTTACTCCGGGTTTCGTCTGGGCACATCTGCTAAGTCTGATTGAGGCTAGCATTCCCAGTGAGCTGTCTCTCACGCTGAAGGGACTGCTTTCCGTAGAAATAGGTGCTTACAGCTGCCATCAGGGTGCTCCTTGCCCTCATACAGAGCCTGGGAACGGGCCAAAGACCATTGCCTTTGGGTGGTTGGTTTTACAATTAAAGCCTACAAGGGACGGTATCTGGGGTTTTGTATCCTGGCTCAATACTAGGAAAACGTCACTGTTGCTTCTGCTTCCTTTACCAGGTTCTGCGGCATGAGGAATTTGAAGAAGGCTGCAAAGCTTCCTGTAATGGGTAGGATACCTAGCTTCTTACAGCCCCCTTAGGCTCTGAAGAGCCCTGTTGATCAGAAAGC